ATTATTATACTATATATATATATATATATATATATATATATATATATATATATATATTTTTTTTTTTTTTATTTTTTTTTGCCAAAATGACCTTATTTCTTCCGTCAACGGAAAATATTTTACTTATTAATTATGTTTGCCTATATATATGTTGATTGCTTCCATAGCATAGTGGTAGTGCGTTTACTTCGTAAGTAAAAGGTCACGAGTTCAATCTATATTATTATTATTATTATTATTATTATTATTATTATTATTATTATTATTATATATATATATATATATATATAGCCAAAATTACCTTATTTTCTTCCGTCAACGGAAAATATTTTACTTATTACTTCTGTTTGCCTCTATATATTTTGATTGCTTCCATAGCATAGTGGTAGTGCGTTCGCTTCGTAAGCGAAAGGTCATGAGTATAATCCTGGTTGGTAGTTCTATATATATATATATATATATATATATATATATATATATATATATATATATATATATATATATATATATATAGAAAACGGTCTATTAGCCCCTCCAACTTCAGGTAAATACCCTGTTCCGGAAAAGGCCACCTCGATCACTTTTTTTGCCAGAAAATGGTCGGAACTGCAATGACCTATGATAGCAGGTCATTTACCTGTATTTTTCATTGCACCAAAATGCATTGTTCATGGATATAATAGCAAATTATACCCTGGAAACGTGTTCACCATTCATGGTGAACACAGGTCCAAATAATGTCGTTTTTACGGGGAAAATTTTTTTAGTTAATGTGCTGTTAACGGCGCGCGTCTGTTCAAATTATGAATTTTCTGTTATGAGATTATGAATGTACTGTAAATTCATAATCTCATAACAGAAAATTCATAATCGCATAAAAGAAAAACATTTATTAAATTATGAATTTTCTGTTATGAGATTATGAATTTATTGTTATGTAATTATGAATTTTCTATAAATTCATAATCTCATAACAGAAAATTCATAATTTCATAACAGAAAATTCATAATCTCATAAAAGAAAATTCATAATTTCATAACTACACATTCATAAATCTATGCCTGCACATTCATAATTTATGAATGTTGAAGAAACTTGCGCGAAGAGAAAGTGAAACCGCGAAATGTGAAAATGAAGAAGAAAATTCGCGCATTTAATTAAGAAGAAGAAGAAGAAGAAAAAAAAAATAACGGTGCACCGTTACCGTTGGGACCGTGTTCACCATGGATGGTGAACACGGTTCCATGACATAACGACTGGGATATAATTGCACCTTTAAAAAGTTGAAGGGACTAATTAACTTTTGAGCAATAGTTTAAGGGCCTATTTGACCATTTTCCCTAATATATATATATATATATATATATATATATATATATATATATATATATATATAAACATTGTTAATAATTTAGAATTCTCATTTCTCGGAGACTATAGTCACTGTAGAGGTGGCCAAAACCCGGGCTTGGGCCGGTCCCGCCCGGGACTGGGCCTCGGTTAACATTGCTCGGGACCGGCCCATAATGTTCAGGGCCGGTCCCATGTCGGGCCCAATCCGGGTCAGCCCCGGGCCTAGGCCGCGGGCCGATCCCGGGCTAGGCCCGGAATTTTTTATATTTTTTCTTAAATATATAATTTTTATGAGTTGAAATATTTTTGTTTGAAATGAGATTTGAACCCTCAACCTTTGTGTTGTCAAATTAAGTTCTTTCTAATTAAGCTAATTCAACCTCTTGTTACATTAATAATTGTTAATACTTTAATATCATTTAAACTTGTAGTCTTGTACTATAAATCTAGTATCCAATTTATTTAAGACTTAATATTATTTGATAAGTTATAAATATTATTTACTCACTAAATTTTATTGATAAATTAAAATTTATAAAAGACTTTTAAATTAAGTTTACTCTTAATTTAAGTTCTTTCCAATTAAGTTTATTAATCTCAAAATTAAAAATTAACACAATTTTCTACTAAATTAAATTTTATAAATGACTTTAATATCATTTAAACTTGTAGTCTTGTACTAGTATCCAATTTATATAAGACTTAATATTATTTGATAACTTATAAGTATTATAGTTTATAAATTTCATTTGATTTTTTACTCACTAAAATTTATTTATATAAGACTTAATATTATTTGATAACTTATAAGTATTATAAAATGTATTATAGTTTATAAATTTCATTTGATTTTTTACTCACTTAATATCAAAAATTAATAAAAGACTTCTAAATTGGGTTTGCTCTTAATATTGAGAAACATTAAGATGCCTACGTATCCTCAATAATTTAGAGGAATCAAAACCCACGTAGTTCTTTATTTTTATAATCATTTAGAAAAATAATTGGGCTTGCTCTTAATATTGTAAAAAATTAAGATGCCTACGTATCCTCAATAATTTAGAGGAATCAAAGCCCTCGTAGTTCTTGGTACGTACCTCATTTGATTAGCTCATTTTCATTCTTGATCGGAAGTACCGGCGGAGGTTGCACGAGAACTAGCATTAGGCGTGGCTTCACATGATGTATTCATGGCCAACCATTCATCTATTTCATCTTCTTCCATTAGTGCAAGTTGATCTTGAGTGCGTTCTTCGGCAGCGTCCCAATCCTTCTTCATGACACAAATTTTGATGGAATCTGGTGCCAAACTTGATCTTTTATCGTCTAATACTCTCTTGCCGGCACTAAAAGCAGACTCGGATGCAACTGTTGAAGCAGGACATGCAAAAATATCCTTTGCAATTTTTGACAAAATAGAAAATTTTGTTTCGTTTCCTTTCCAAAATGTTAGTATATGAAAATCATCATTTATTTCAAAATTACAAGACAAATATGTATCTATTTCAGAAGAATTACCACTACCACTACCACTATCCTTTGATTTTTTTAATATTGTTGAAACAATAGGATTATGCCACTTACTCTTACGGACAACAACGGGATCAACAGATTGTGGTGCATAAATCGAATAATATTCTTCATATAAAGTTTTTAACAAATACGAACAATCATTAATATACGTTTGAACATGTTCAACATAGTTTGGAAAATTCAAAGAGTTATAATAAAAATCTAATAAACTATTTAATCCATTTAAACCCACATTTGGATCAAGAATAGCAGCTAAACCATAGATACAGGGACGGAGCCAGGACGGAACAATGCGGGGAGCCGAACTACGATTGAAGTACTAAATTAAATACATTGATATCCCGTTAACATATCTCAAAATAATCATTACATTACAAATTCAATAAAATTTAGAATAAATTATTTATAATTGAATCTATATTAAATTATTTTGCAATATGCTTTTCAATGCACATTACTTTGCATTGTACGGTTGAAAGAATGAAAACATTAACGCATGTTTTAAAAGACTATTGATTATTTCTTGAAAAACCCTCTTCACAACATAACATAATAGCAATTGTTTTCTCAAATACATATACTACACAATTGTTACATTATTATGCATTTTAAATTAAATACAAAATTTATCACACAACCACAAATTTACATAATTAATCAAACAAATGCACTTGATATCCATGATTTAGAATCAAACAAAACAATTATTTAAGATAAACAATAGAATATGAAACAAAAATTAACCAAACAAGTAGTAATAAATAAAAATAAAAAATAAAAATTAACTTGAAAAATATGCATAGATTTTGTTAATGACAAATTATCTTATTATAACGTATATGCCGCATATATGCATGGTTCTACGCAGAGAAACTAGTAAGTAGGTTAAATGAAATTTAATTTGAATGTGAGTCAACAATATATGGAATACATAATTTGAAATAAGAGAGAACTGAAAAAGTTGAGAAGATGAAAAAATTTATAACTTTACCTGTAAGATTAATTAAGTGGAGGGAGGCCAAATATTTTGAAAAAACAACAAAATTTTAAAATTCTATATAATATTTTTTTAAAAAAAATTAATACATATATAATATTAAAAAATTTTGGGGTTGGGGAGGGGGGCCAAAGCCCCCCTAAACATACACTTACCTCCGTCCCTGCATAGATATAAGGAATATCACTAAAATATGATACAAATTTATTTATCATATTTTTAACTAAATCAAACAAAATAGGATCTACAATAAAAGAAGTAAGAGTACTAACAATTGTAATGCATTCAGTTACAACTAAATGAACGTTAGGCTCATAAACTAAAGAAAATGATTTTGTAGCACTATCAAATGATTGAAGAATTGCACAAACATTACTAGCTACTTCCCAATATTGAGCTGTAATTACGCAAGCATCACTACTTTGATTACTATTATACAAAATAGTTATTACCTCATGATATGGAGCAGTTTCACATAACAATTTATATGTAGAATTCCATCTAGTAGGTGTATCCAAACTAAAATGTCTTTTATCTAGACCATGTTGTTCACACAATACTTTAAATTCATTTTTTTTTTTTTTGTTTCTATTGTATCTAAGCCATTTAACACATTTTCTAATCGGTTCAACTAAACCACTCAAGCTATTTAGTCCTTCTTGAACACATAAATTTAAAACATGAGCACAACATCTAATATGCAATAATTTACCACTAACAGGTAAAGATAAGCTTTGAAGTAAATAATCTATAGATCTAGTATTAGAAGAAGCATTATCTAAAGAAATTGAAAAAACTTTATTTCTTAATTCAAACTCATCCAAAAACATTTATTATTCGTTCTTTTAAATTAAAAGCAGTATGAGATTCTTCCATTAATTCAAAACCGATAATTCTTTTTTGGAGTATCCAATTATTATCTATCCAATGACAAGTAACACAAATATATGGTTCACCTTGAGGAGTTGTCCAAGTATCACTAGTTAATGCAACACGACCATTAAAATTTGCAAAATAATTAATTAACATAACTTTTGACATATGAAAACTTTTATAGATAGCACGTTTCAAAGTATTTCTTGGTACTTTTTTATATTGTGGTTGTAACGTTTTTTT